AAATATATTATGTTTAGATTCTGGAAAGGAGAAGGTATGATGTCAGACAGATGAGCCCCACTTTTTAAAACTCTTTAATTCGAAACTAGTAATCACCATATTTTTATGGAGATTGATAACAAAGTGGTAGTAATGACTGCTTCAAATCAGAACAAAAATGACCCCTCGAAGTCAAAATGCATTAAAAAGGGGCATAAATCTTATTAGAATATGAAGATATTAAGTCACAATATTTTGTGCAAAATCTGACCTGTGGAAGTCATTTTATGATAAATTAAAGTCTGACATAAACTGACCTGTACAAGTCATATTCTGTTGAGTGCAAGAAGGGAGACAACACTTACATCAAATTATATCTGACCTATGGAAGTCATTTTATTCTGACTTGTTTATGTCAGAGCTCTGACTGTTAAAGTATCAAAGTTTATCAGTAAAGTCAAAATGCCAAAACGCAAAATTTCGTACCTAAAAAGGTCGGTTTTCTGGCCCTGTGGTGACTGCAGACAGAATTGCTGCAAGAACTCAGTACAATGTAACTCTTTACATACATGTACAGAGCAATACATGGTACCACTATGACTGTCAACAATTCTCATTACAAGACATCAATTTCTTGGTTACATCCAGCGGTTCCACGTTCTGTTGTTTGACCTGTTTGAGAGAAGAAGTAGGGTCAACCTACTCTTATTCATCTGGCTTACTTCGTCTTCATTTGGTAATTTTATGTTTTAATATAAAAAATTATATAGTATATTTGCACAATTCTTCTTAATTTTTGACGATTAATATTCATGATATTGTTAAGTACATAAGACGTTGAATTTGTTAATCTGATTAATCGGTTTAATCTATTTATCACCGACCCGTGTCAAGCGTTGTTAATTCAATATGTATATAGTACATTTCTTTATTGTTAATTGAGATTAATCATTATAAGTGATGGATTAACACATTTAACATATTTATCACCGACGCGTGTCAAGCTTTGTTAATTCATCTTTATATAATAGCACATTTCTTTATTGTTAATTATTATTTCTCCTTAATTAGGTAATTTTATGTTTTAATCTAAAAACTTACATAGTATATATATTCTTCTTAGTTTTTGGCGTTGAATTTGTTTAATCTGTTTATCACCGACGTGTGTCAAGCTTTCTTAAATCAATATGTATATAGCACATTTGTTTATTGTTAATTGCGATTAATCATGATAAGTAATGGATAAACACATTGAACATATTCATCACCGACGTGTGTCAAGCTATATTTGTTTTATTATGTACAGAATTCATTATAAATCTTTTATCATTACCTGTTTTTGGCAAAACTTTTCGGAATTTATGGTCTGTAATCCTCTTAAACTACGTGACCCGTTCTTGCCTCTACTTTTTTGGTAGTTAATTGGGAAAATGAATTTAGAGTTATTAAGTGAACAACAATGATAGATCTTTTTGAAAAATATTGATGGTCCTTATAAGGACCTTTGTAACATCGTGTTGATGTCCAATTTTTCTTCATCCTCATCGCTGCTCAATTCTGGTAAGCTGTCAAGGGCTTCTTCTATTTGTCTGTCCTCCATTTTGTCCATTTCGTCAGCCAGTGCATCCTGTCACCATAATGTATATACAAAGTTTCGATATCAAAGACGTTGGAACATCACTTTAAGCTAATGGAAGCAATGGCAACTGTCTTTTCGACTCCCTTTCACTTGTTTGGTCATGATCAGTATCCTACACAGTTACATGTAATGACATGCATCAACATGTTAACCAACATTGACTTGTATACATCTCACACTGACGCTTCCAATATTATTATGTTGTCCCCTACCTTTCAGGAATCGTGCATCCAATGTGCCACGGACAGGGCATGGTCGTCCACATGGACCATAATGGCAGCTGCTGATGTCATTGTTAAGAACATCCAAACAATTTACCCACCTGTTTATGGTAAAGGCCATCTTGCATACAGGAATACAACATACACACCTCTTCACCTTTCACCATCTGGGTTATTAACTATAATGTGGACTCACACTAATTGGGGAATAAATGGTATGTGGACGCCAAATCATTTTGTCCCGTTAACTGTTGCAGACGAGATTATTGCCTTTGTATAACGTAGGGATGCTCGATAAACATCTGTTTGTACAACAGATAATTCAAAACAAGAACCAAGTACCGGCAATAGTTTGTTATACAGAACACCAAATTTCAAATTTAAAATATTTCCTGTCACAAAAGTCAGAGCATCCTTTGGGGGTTGACAGAACCTTCAAACTGGGTAGCTTTTACGTTACGTCGATAGTTTATAAGAACCTGCGGGTACACAGAAAAGAAACCAAAGACCATCCAATCTTCGCAGGACCAATGCTGCTACACAAGGATGCATCATACACAACATATAGAGCTTTCTTTTCTCACATTTTTGCCACACTAGAACTTGCGATAGATGATGTCCAACTTCGACGCCATGAGAATATAGAGTTGGGTAGTGACAATGAAAAGGCGCTGACCAAGGCCATAGAAAAAGCTTTTCCAACATTGTGTACAAAACATTTAAAAGACAATGTGCAGCATTACTTACAAGATCATGTTGGTGTCAGCACACAAGAAAGAAAAAACATTATCAACACAATCTTTGGAGATGACAGCATAGCAAGTGCAGACGATACTTTGCAATTTGTGCAAGATGCACAACTTAAGGATTTATGTTCAAATTACCCTCAGTTCCTAAAATACTACGAACAGAGTTTTAAACCAAGAGTTTGCGAATTTGTAAATGCACATAATAGACGTTTAGGCACCAAAAAATTGTGGACAAACAATAACGCAGAATCTATGAACCGTGTAATGAAAGTGGCAGTCAACTGGAAGCCCCAACATGCCCCAGATTTGGTCGAAAAACTGTTTGACATGGTGGACTTTCAGTTCATCAATTTTAGATCAGCACTGCATCATTCAGCTGACTACATTCCTGTCAATTCCTACAAACAATATATGATTGCTGATGTTATCTGGAAAACTAAATCAGATGAGGAAAAAAGAAAGCTCTATAATAAATTCTTACTGGACAGTAAGAAACGAAAACATGACAATGTCATAACTTCCTCTGATGGACTGTATTCGGTTGTTAACAAGGCAAAGTCAATAGCCAGGAAACCAATGCAGAGAAAGAGATCAAGAACCGAAAGAGCCGAAAAAAGACTTTAATCTTCTATCTTGACCATGTATTTATTGAATTGTTTTGTTATTGATCATGTTGATATTATCAAATTAAAATTTTCCACTTAATTTTTATCTTTGAAATTTGACAGCAGACAAAGTTTATGTATCTTGAATTCTACATATGAAATTTGAGGAACATGCATGAGGAAGATACACACAAAAAAAATCTAAAATCAATCTTCGAACTTCAACTTTCAAGAATTAAATAAAAAGACATGCTTACTATAATTTATTAGTTAATTAAAACATTATTGTGCTAAAATAATCTTTTTTACATTCTTTGGTTTTCTTGGTGATTGGTTTTACAGGAATTTTTGGTATGGACCCAATTAAAGGCCAAGTCAATTGGGGGTGTAGTGATAGTGAGTCGACCCTAGATGGAAAAACAAAATTTATTTGAATAATAAAAGTCAAATTATAGACAGAATTAGCAATAACAACAACTATTATGTCTCAAATGTTACTATTTCGAAATTCTATATATCGGTTCTTGGTCCCTTTCTCTGCATGGGTTTCCTGGCTATTGACTTTGCCTTGTTAACAACTGAATACAGTCCATCAGAGGTATATTTTGTGTGTTCTGTGGTATTCTGTGGTGTTCTGTGGTAAAAAGAGGCCCTTTAGAAACAGAGGAACAGCTAAAGATACATGTTAAAGAAGTGCATGTTAACAGTAACTGCTGTAACAGACTGTCAACCCACTGTACAGATAGGGGGTACCACAAAAGCCCCTTGTTGTTTACAAAAAGCACTAGCCTTTATGTCTAATCACTCATGTCACTAGGGTATATTTTCTGGAATACATGCATGTATATCATGTATATAAAAAAAAACAAAGGCTATAAATTTAAATTTAAAAATATTTAATTTTTACTCAAAGTACATATACATTTCAACTTCATAACAGACATGGGGTTATTAACACTAAAATCTGTTGTAATTTTTCACACACCTAATTGTATATGTTCCATTTGATTTTTTGACTAGTATAGCAAAAAGAATACACGAGAAAAACATGCCATATTATATTTATATATTATTGTTGATTAATTTCATTTAACAATAAACTCACCAAAGGTTTGTTTTTATGCCCTTGCCATAGGAGAGGGGGCATTAAGTGTTACCCTTGACTGTCTGTCTTTCTGTCCTTCCATCCCATTTTTGTTGCAAAGCTTTAGGGGGGGGGGGCATTCGTGTTCTCAGACACATTATTCTTTTATTTACTATTATAATGAAATTAAATACTTGAGTTGATATCAAACCTTATCCAATTGTCATGCTTGTTATGAAACATTTAATAACAGGACTCTAGATAAGGATGATGATGGATGGGTGTTTAACTGGCAAATTCACCAATATTCCAGATGAGAATATATATAATTCATATCAATGTAATTTGAATATACAGGATGCCTAACAAAAGTACATTTCGAAAAATGTAACAATGTCATGAGTTTTGTTGATTTTATTTTTTACCAAAACATTGCAAATTCTCATGATTGTTTGGCTTCTACAGGAAAAGTATAAATCTGTTACTCAATCTTGTTTTTTTTTTTACATTATTGGACATGTTGGATGTCTTCTAGACAAATAGAAATTATTTTTTTTTTAGATAATCATAGTAAATAATCATTTATTCTATGTATTAGACATTTTATGCATTGTACCATTGAGGTACATTTTAGACATGGCTAAATCTTGTAGATTTATGAAGTTTGTGACACATGTAAATTTTAGGATGGAGTTATGCCTGACAATATTTTATTTCTTTCAGGACTAAAGGAGATTATGAAGGAGCCCAAAGAAAAGCATTAACAACGAAGGGTTGGAGAAGATACACAAGTACATTTACAAATGAAGGGAAACTTATGGTTAGTGGGTTTTTTTTCTTCATGATAATGATAATCATGATGATGCTAATTGCCACTTGATGAAAAGTAGATATTTTGAAATTTGAACACAATGTCATGGATCGTAAAATACATGTCAATTTTGATTTGATCGATTTCACATTTACTGTTCAAGAGTTATGCCCTTTACAGTCATACAAGTCATTTTTATACGACAGCAAAAAAATTTTGGGGTTGTATATATATTGCTATCACGTCGTCGTCCAAAGACATTTGGTTTCCTGACAATAACTTATATTAGTTTTAGTGTACGGATTTCTATGAAATTTAAAAAAAAGGTTCAATACCACAAAAGGAAGGTTGGGATTGTGTTTGGGGGTGATGGTCCCAACCATTTAGGAATAAGGGGTCAAAAAGGGGCCCAAAACATGCATTTTTCTAGTTTCAGGACAATAACTTCTGTATAAGTATTTTGATTGCTCTGAAATTGTACCACAAGTAGAAGGTTGGGATTCATTTTTGGGAGTAATTGCCCAAACCATTCAGGAATTAGGGGCCACAAAGGGTCTAAAACAAGCGTTTTTCTAGTTTCAGACAATAACTTGTGTTTAAGTGTATTGATGTCTCTTGAATTGTAAATTTTACAAAAAAGAAAATTTCTTCAAATGTTAATTTTTTTGGAAAAGGGGGGTGGTAAAAAAAAAATTTTTTTTTTTTTTTTGGGGGGGGAGCCAATTTTTGGGGGTCACAGTTTATTTTGCTAATTCTTTGTATATAGTCTGAAAACAGATTTACTAAGTATTGCTCAACAGCATAGTGTATTGCACAAAAGCAAGAAATCTCCAGTTGAATATAAATTCAAATCATATAACCAATTTCAAGTTCTTTGACTACATTTATTCTGTATCAGAAACCTATAATGTGTCAAATGGCCCGAGAACACAGTTATTTCGTAGTGCATTTCTTTTAGACAATAAATTCAAATTAAAAAAATCGCACCTGCTCTATCTCAAAAAGATTTTTACAGTGTAGTGTACTACTATTGATACAAATAATATCAAAATTATAGAAACTTCTACCAGCTCTAACTCAAAATATTGACAATTCTGTGTTAAGGGGGGCTAAAATTCAGTTTGACAGCTTCAGACATTCTAATTTTTGACCTTTTTTAACTGGACCAAATCACTACTTAACATAAAGATTCAGCACCCAAATTTTTTTAACATGTAATTTCATCCCCTTACTTAATATTTCATGCATTAAATATCAAGAAATAAATTGGGAAAATGTATCCAAAAAAAATGTAAGTTATACACTGTTCACACTAGGGACTATATTCGTAGACAACGAAAACCAAAGGACGATAACTGTGTCCTTGGACCTAATAGGATAGAAAGACTTGACCAATTTTAATAAAACTTTGCATGACCTAAGCTTAGGCAATTATAAGATAGTTGGCCAAGTTTCATGGCCATAGGATATATATTATAGAAACTAGGGCCATTTTAATATTGAAATTTGGATGTTTATTTTTGACGTTTAAATCAAATATTTTCAACTGTCAAGATTTTGGCCTAAAAAATTTAAATATTGCAAAAATTTGCTTTTTAAATACTCTTGAATTTAATATAATAAGTTTTAAAAGCAAAGGAACACTCATTTGATTTATCAGATTTATTACAGTTATTCAAAAGTCAAATTTATATGAGCCTGTGCCTGAAAATAGAGATTTTCGAATTAAGGGAAGCCTTACATAAACATGCATTTTTTTCAACCAATTTGAAGTTTTTGAAGTTTTTTAACCATACATTATTCTTCCATATATATTAAATGTACTTTGAATGTAAAGAAAAGTTACAAAAAGCATACCACAGGAGTATAAAATGGTCTTAGGCTTCAGCACCCAAATTTTTTTAACATGTAATTTCATCCCCTTACTTAATATTTCATGCATTAAATATCAAAAAATAAATTGGGAAAATGTATCAAAAAAAAATGCAAGTTATACACTGTTCACACTAGGGACTATATTCGTAGACAACGAAAACCAAAGGACGATAACTGTGTCCTTGGACCAAATATTTAATTACAGTCCAAATTCTGACCTGTATCAAGCTTGAATATTGTGTCCATTTTTGCCCCACCTGTCCTAGGTTGGACCTCTGCGGTCGTATCCAGCTGACCTCGGCGAAGCAGTTTATTATTTACTAGAAGATGCAAGTAATATTTACTTGTACATGTATAAGTAATTTTGTAAGATTTTTGTTTTATTTTCAAGGTTTAAATTATTTCCTTTAAATCTTTTACCAAAAATTTACTTATACAAGTAATTTTTTTTTTACAATCCCTAAAATGTTCACATTTTGGGAGGTCAAAACATGCTTAAACAGAATTTTTCTGGTTTTCTTATTAATTTTTAAGTAGAGTTCAACCTTTTATCTCAAGAACTAAGCAAAGAAATCTATTGGAAAAAAGATGTTAAGAAACTGCGCAAGTCCTTAAAAAATTGCCCCCTGGAGGCTTGTAAATGAGCAGTATTTGGAAGATAACAGACAAATGATATTTTCATTTTCCATGAAATTGTACTTTTATGAATAGTACAGACAACTATTAATGACACACAATTAAACACTCTATTAGAGCAGTGTAGTCATTAGAAATTCAAGTGTAGAAGAAAATAAGACTTATACTTATATAAGTAAAAAATATCTGAATGTCTAAGGGATATAACTCTACTTCCAAAATAATTTACCTATACCAGTAAATAAAAAAACACTTGTACAAGTACTACCTCTGACTGCCTTAGTTACATTTACCATAAAATATTTTTTGAACTTTATTTTACGGATAATTATTGAAAGATCACTCAACCAAAGCCTTTGAAAGTTGATAACAATTTATCATTCAAGAGTTTAATTCCCCTTAGTTACATGAACCAGGGTTCACACACTAAATATTTGTAAGCAGTCCAGGGACTCACCATTTTTGGCTTTGGCCACTCATCTATGTCCATTTTTGTGCTTCGGACGCGTGAAATTCATAACGTGTTGTTTTCAATTTTTTTTTGCCATGGCAAATACAAGATTGGGAAGAAAATCAATAGCGTTGCCTTAATCTTTTATTTGTTGTAAGTCTGTATAACAAAATATAATATGGCCAAAAATTAAGAATAAGACTAATTTGAAAATTTTCCTTTGACTTTTGCTATGAAATGATAATAAATGGATTCAGCTGATACAATCTAATTCTTATTGCATCTTTTAATAGACGCATCATGTAAGGAAGTGATGAGTCCAGACAGATTTTCATCAGGCCAGGGCTCAGGAAATCATCTTGTTGAAAACCCTGTCTTCTTTAAAATTATGTTAATAACCTGGAGAGAATGAAGTACCATAACCATGATAACAATTGATATCTTTTTAGATTTTAACACTGTGAATGTTGTGAATCATAAAATAAAGTTCACATTCAATATTAATTTTGGTTTAGATATTTACTTAAAGATCATAGTTTAGTTACTAGGAGCTAGCTAGCCTCTAACAGAGTTTATATTGCTTTCTACCTACATTTATGATTGTAAAGCTATGCAGATACAAAATGTACACTTAAATAAAAATAATAAAATTTGTTTTATAATGAAATAACTTTTTTTTTTCTTATTTCAGTTAGCCCGTGCTTCAGTGTTGATGTGGGGTGGAATTGCTGCATATGTTGCCTACAGATTTCTGAGATCAGAAAAGAAAACCAAATTTGAGAATGAAACAGTTGCATAGGATTTTTGAAGATTTTTTAGAAACATATTTATGATTTAGAGTCAGTCAGGGGTAGTAGTTATACCCCAAAAGAATCTTTATTGGTACGGTTAAAAAGTTTTGTAGATTTTCCGCTTTATAGTAATTCAAAATTTTTTGGAGTTATTCTCCCTTATGGTAATTCAAAATTTTAATACTTGGTGTAAGATGTTTATATTTTCTTCTTTTCTTGAATTTCTCTAAACTGAGGGTGTGGATGGGGGTTTACAGAATAGAGAATAATGGTCAAAAAATATAAAGAATAGAGAAAAATGGACCAAGGAAATATATAATAGAGTATAATGAGGTGCTAAAATATGAAGAATAGAAAGAAATGGGCAAAAAGTATAAAAAAAGAGAAAAATGGCCTAAAAAATTAAAGAATACAGAAATGAAGGACCCCCATCCAGACCCTCTTAATTTCATTGCATTTATAGAGTATTTGATTGTTGATCTTTAAAAGCTAATTGTTTGTTATTTTAAAAATTCTGCATACATGTATGTACAGGCCTTTAAGACCAATTTTTGAAGGATTTTGTCAGTAACTTAATATCTGTAGGTAGTTCATGTGATAACAGGTTGAGCTTTCATCCAAAAAAGTTTTTGCCAACCAGAACAATAAGTTGGATGCATGTTTTGTTTTAAAAAAATTAAGAATTTATGGCGTTGTAAAAAAAATTACTTGTCAAATTTAATTTTTAAAGAAAAATAGAGTAAGATTATTCAAACCTTGAAAAGAACATTTAAATGTGACAAATTTACTTATAAATATTACCCTTGACTGATGGTTTGATAAGTGTGTGTGAATGGTTGTTTTTTTAACATTTCCTTGTTCAATCCAGCAAAATCAAACAGGAGTTAATTCCCTTAAAATCAAAGTATGAACATATCCCACTTGTTAAGGTATTAAAAACAGGATCATATTAACTTTGAATTTGATAAAATGTGTAACGGGGTAAAGTTAAACACATTGTATACCTTTAAGTTCTGAAACATTATTTTTTCAAGAACAGTGCACAATTCTAAGGCCGTTTCAGAATCTAAAGGGCCATGGGTAATCTCATTGTTCGTACCCCAAAATGAAAATAACATCATGTCATTGGTTGAATTTCAATTGTTTAGGATATTTTTAACCAATCGCAACGCTTTGGTGAACGCTTTTGAAAATATTTCCCAGATTGCATTATATTCTGAAACAGCGAATTATTGTTTGTGGTTATATGACTTTTAACCTTAGTGTGTCTCATGTCTATGAGGAATATTTTTGTAACATTTTGAGATTGTACTGTAGATAACTTTGATGTCAATGTGTATTTATTGACAGATAATTGATTATATAAATGATGATGTGTATCAGTTTTGAAAAAATTGTACATTTTTAACTGTGAATTGTTATTTTTAAATAGAATTTCATATACAAAAGAAGGTTATTGTTTTGAGTATTGCCATTACCTTAAGATAAAAAGACGATATTTACCCACCATGGGGCTATTCCATTAAAATAGATAGGGGAGTGTAGGAAAGGACTTCCAAAATCCTCCCACAACCAACATACGTTCTTCTAGTTATTTTGTACACAACAAAGGGACATACTACCATAAATTACCCACAACCCATGCCTAAAAATAAAAACTTACCTACCTACTCTCCCACACTCATTTTAATGGAAAATCCCTTAGGATTAAGAGCGAACTTAAGGATGTAGTTAGATGAAATTTTAAAAATCTAGAATTTACAACTGATACTATATGTCAGAAGAGCATTAGTTAACATGGTTAAGGAACAAAATAAGCTAAAATATTTATAGATTATGGAACTCATTTTTGAGATATTTGATTTTTAAAAAATGGCGGAAAAAAGCTGACTCTGACTTTTACCTTATATTTAGCATTGGCATTATTTGGGTTTCAAATTGTAAGAAAACAAATCTAGAATCTGCTTAAATTTTGGTAATGACCCTTTTATGAGTTATTGAAGTCTACTATGAAAAGAAAAGTGGGTGATATGGGGCAAAATATTTTACCCTATATCGTAGGAAAAAACCTGAGGAGTCTGAACATCTGACAAAAATTCCTAAATCTGACCCCACTACATCCTTAATGTTCTTTCATGGTGTTGCAAAAAAGGAACAAAATAAAACCAGACAAAAATCCCTTATAACTGGCAAATATTGGATAACATCTAAAACACATTCTAGTAAATTTCCTTGGAACATTAAACCTTGCGTTTATGGTGTTTGCCTCCCAATAGAGGTGTCAGGACTTGTGAATAAAAGAAGAAGCATAGTAATATCAAAGAGGCAGCAATCATACAAACAAAAATAACCATAAGAAATCTAGAAAGCAACCAACAGTCTCCAACAATACATAGGTGTCCATACAATATCTCAAGATCTAAAGGACAACCACCAATCTCCAACAATACATATGTGTCCATACAATATCTCAAGATCTAGAGGGCAACCTACAGTCTCCAACAATACATAGGTGTCCATACAATATCTCAAGATCTAGAGGGCAACCAACAATCTCTAACAATACATAGGTGTCCATACAATATCTCAAGATCTAGAGGGCAACCTACAGTCTCCAACAATACATAGGTGTCCATACAATATCTCAAGATCTAGAGGGCAACCAACAGTCTCCAACAATACATAGGTGTCCATACAATATCTCAAGATCTAGAGGGCAACCAACAGTCTCCAACAATACATAGGTGTCCATACAATATCTCAAGATCTAGAGGGCAACCAACAGTCTCCAACAATACATAGGTGTCCATACATTATCTCAAGATCTAGAGGGCAACCAACAGTCTCCAACAATACATAGGTTTCCAAACAAGATCTAGAGGACAACCAACAGTCTCCAAAAATACATAAGTGTCCATACAATATATCAAGATCTAGAGGACAACCAACAGTCTCCAACAATACATAGGTGTCCATACAATATCTCAAGATCTAGAGGACAATCAACGGTCTCCAACAATACGTAGGTGTCCATACAATATCTCAAGATCTAGAGGGCAACCAACAATCTCCAACAATACATGGGTGTCCATACAATATCTCAAGATCTAGAGGACAAACAACAGTCTCCAACAATACATAGGTGTCCATACAATATCTCAAGATCTAGAGGGCAACTAACAGTCTCCAACAATACATAGGTGTCCATACAATATCTCAAGATCTAGAGGGCAACCAACAATCTCTAACAATACATAGGTGTCCATATAATATCTCAAGATCTAGAGGGCAACCAACAGTCTCCAACAATACATAGGTGCCCATACAATATCTCAAGATCTAGAGGGCAACCAACAATCTCCAACAATACATAGGTGTCCATACAATATCCCAAGATCTAGAGGGCAACCAACAATCTCCAACAATACATAGGTGTCCATACAATATCTCAAGCTCTAGAAGGCAACCAACAGTCTCCAACAATACATAGGTGTCCATACAATATCTCAAGATCTAGAAGGCGACCAACAGTCTCCAACAATACATAGGTGTCCATACAATATCTCAAGATCTAGAGGGCAACCAACAGTCTCCAACAATACATAAGGTGTCCATACAATATCTTATAAATATCTTAAAAAATGTGGTGGTGTTCAACTAGATATTTTTTGTCTCCGCCACCTTTTTTATATGAATCTGTAGATAATCAAAATGTACATAAAAGAACATACCTTTTCTTATTTTTAATTTGTTCCATTTGTTATGTTGTGGCCTTTTATAACTTTCTATGAGGTATATATAGGGTTAGCTAATTGTTGAAGGCCCTGCAGTGACCTATAGTTGCTAACTTTTACATCATTTAGTCTCTGGTGGAAAGTTGTCTTGTTTGCAATCATACCACATCTTCTTATTTTTATATTCAATAAAAACAAACAAAGGACAAGTTCTTAACCCTCAAATAATTTTTTACTGTATAAAAAATCACAATGAACAACTGAAAGATAGCTTTAAGACCTCGAATTACTGCTATTATCATGGTGTCCCACACTAAAGTTGGTTGCTCAACCTCATAAAAATTGTTTGTACAGCTACATCATAAACAGTATAGGAAGACAAGATATTGCTTATATATAATGTATACTTGGAGTGAACAGAAGACGAATTATTATGCATTTTGAAAGGGCAATTGACATGATTGAACATGGTAATAATTGGATTATCTCCCTTTTTCTTAAAAAATTTTAAAAAAACTTCAATGAAAACATAATAACTTATATCAAAAATAAGTAATATTACAAATGTATGTGAGAAAGGTCAGATATTTACTTTAAGAAATATTAAAAGTTATGTCATAACTGCAGATGTGTTTAATGGAACATTGAATTTGTACAAAATATTGTTAATTACTAATGAGTTAATTCGGACAAATATTTGACAGCCATTTTGGTTACACTCAAGGTTCTTTAAATTCTTAAGTATTTACCCAAGTACACTGTAATTCCTTCCAACAGCATGTTAATTTTTAGATGTTTTTGTTGTTTTTTTTTTTGTGTAGTATAGTTGCTTATCATTGATGTTTAAAAAAAACCCTTGATATCCGTATATTCATACTGGATATGAACTATCATCTATGTTAATATTTCTGGCTTCATGACAAATGTACTTCTCTAAAACTGACAAACTGTACACAGCAAACATTAACAGCAAACCAAGATCTACAAGTTAGTAAATTCAAGCTTTAAAATTGCAATTTTACCAACTTTTTGTTTGCTTTTAGACTCTTTGCTTGAAAATCCTTATAATGAAGGGAAACTGTTAACAACAAAAATAATCACCAAGATACCATTTACAAAATATGCAAAATGATTGATATAAAAATCAAAACGTCATATTTTGCCATGTAAGTGAGTGAGCCATGCTCTTACAATGTAGGTTGGTATATAGATTGATACTTCCTTCATGTCCAGTAGCAAATATTTCATATGTATTCAGAAGCCTCTAGTTTGCATACCAGTAGATTGATTGATAATATGTTGATTGCTTAAGGACCAGTGGCACATATTTCATGCATATTCAGGATGAAAACAAATTTACTAATTAATACAATATAATTGAGAATGGAAATGGGGAATGTGTCAAAGAGACAGAAAATAGCCTAAGGCCACCAATGGGTCTTCAACACAGCGAGAAAATCCTGCACCCGGAGGCGGGATTCTGTGAGCTGGCCCCTAAACAAAAATGTGTACTAGTTCAATGAAAATGGACGTCACACTAAAAATGAACCAAAATTAAAAATCATGCAAGACTAACAAAGGCCAGAGGCTTCTGACTTGGGACAGGCGCAAAAATGTGGCGGGGTTAAACATATTTTGTGAGATCCCAACCCAATAGGAAGGTTCTGCAAGTTAGGTCGACTGGAGTAATGGGCTGGAATCTCAGACTTCTACTGGAAAAGGATTATAATTATGTTGGATAAGGACTGAAATTTTGCCTTGCAACTGGCCACCTTAATGAACATACCAGTAGACCTAAAATCTTGAGATATATCTTGTATATAATATTATTGTTTACATTTCCTTTTTACGAATAAAAGAAGAATGCAAGAATAGTGTGCTAAGCACACCCAACTGGTAGATATAGAATAATGGCATTTTCATTTTTGATACTGACTTTATCAGTAAGAATATAAGGCG